CTATATATATATATATATATATATAAACTTACACAAAAAATTTTTTTTTTAAATCGGCCCTTCAGCTCAAAAACTTCCATTCCAAAGAAGACTCCTAAATTTTTATTTACAAATATTAAGATTTAGAGGTCGCTAGTAAACGATTTTTAAATCAAAGTTTCGATTTTCCTTAATACATGATTTGATGCAAAAATGGCTTAATCCGGATTTTAAATGTGTATGTTTTTTTGATCGCTGAACACGATGCAATAATTCATTTTGCTCTACAATATACGCCTTAAGAAATATTGTCCGATTAATGTGAAAAAATGACTAAATTTCGACATCAAGGTCGATTTCAAGGTTCCAAGCGTTCAAATAAGTCCTTACTCCCCTTAAATTGTAGGTTTGTTCACCTAGAACAAGGTCCAGTTGGAATTTTCCCGGAACCTCCTACAGAGTCTTCAAAAGTTTGATTTAACTGGATTATTAGGTTTTAAGGACAGAAAAAAATTAATTTAATTTAATCAATACAGCTCCATATGAAAAAGTTCTACTCTATTAACGAGAGCTATTAGAGCCAACGCAAGATGTATTATGCTATTACTTTAATAATTCTAATTTAAAATACTACAATACTAAACGATTTTACAATTGATTATTCTTAATAGTTTACATTTCTTTTAATTCTTCTTACATACTATTAACGTTGTGTATTCGTTGTAACATTTCTTAATCTCACTATAATCCGTTAGGTTTCCTTTTTATTCTCGCGTGTTGGTGTACACATGAAATTTTCGTATAGTTCTTCGTTGATTATATTAAAATTTCATCTTATTACGTTATTGCTAATCAGAAACGTTTCGGACAATACACGCACGCACACACACAGAAGGTGTCTCAGGCCACCCGTACATCACTTTTATCTCGGAAATGAAGAATTTTAGAAAAAAAAAGTTTCAAACAAAAATTGTGGCATTCTAAATGATCTATTCAGCGACCTGATCAGTCTGATCTTGGGTGGCGTCACCAAGGTCAGAGAAATGTTACTTTGAATTTTTTTTAATGAAAGCCCTTATTTCTTATTGCATATTCTTATAACACACCTTGAAAGCTTTCCATAATACTATAATAAAATACTTGTTCATAAAGTACTTTTCGAGTTATAATGCTTGAAAGTTATAGTCGACATTAGTACTTCGCAAAAGTATACGAGTATGTACAGATTACTTAGTCAAAATTAATCTCGCAGCGCTGCCATCCAATCGTCAGGCCAAAAAAATGAAATAGTGACTGCTTCTGAACAGAAGAACAAAAAGTGACCTTGAAGCATTGAAACGGTAATAAAAATGATTATTTTTATTAACTTTTTGAGAGTACTTAAGACCATTTATATAAAAACATGATATCCATCAAAATTTAACTAGTTAATTTCAGGATAATTCCAAGACATTCCAGGTAAAAATCCTTATTTCTCAAGGTCGATTAATTTTTATTATTTAATTAATTTTCATTGAGATTGCAACATTATATATATATATAATATTTAAGTTAAGATTCCATATGATGAAAGAATTAAAACAACGTAAATAACCTTGGAGCAATGTTATTTATTGCTATATAAATAATATCAAACGAACGTTCTATCAAAATAAACAATTTCTCTCATAAGTTCTATTTAAACATTAAATCCAATTTTCTATTGATAACGTAATCTTTAAGGGAAGGCTTATATCCAAAACATAACTTTGCTTTTTATTAACGCAACATCACAAACATCCTTATTTAGTAATTTATTACTAGTCTTTAATACTAATTTAATAAAGCGTCAATAAATCATTGATTTATTCGGAAATATTTTTATTTCTTTCTTCTTTTACGATTTGATTTTTTTAGAATGAAAGAATGACAAAAATTCCAGATCAGTCCTAAAATTTCAGGGGTTTCTTCTAGGAATTTTCAAGAATATATTAAATTTCAAGATCCAAGGACATTCAAGGACCACCGGATATTATGAAAAAGTAACATTTATTCTTATTTTTTTGCAACAGTATTATGTAAAAAAAGTAATAGTAAATTTTCAAAAGTCGCCTTTTAGTTCTACATTTATCAAAATTTAACACATACATTAAATAATATGTAGAATTAACACAAGACATATTAAAAAAATACAATAAGAACAAAATCACAGATATCTAATTAAATCTGAAGATAAATTATTCAATTTTTCTTTGATTTTTTAGTAAAATAACTTATAGTAGATTGCCAAAATATTAGAAACAGTGCGATCTTTCTGTTATTTTTATGTTTGCAAGTGCTTTTTATTGAAAATATGACTGGAAATTTATTTTTATGTTGTTTTACTACATTTATAATGAAAAAGTATCATATCCAAGTAAAAAAACTTCATGGAATTTTATTAAGAAGCACTTGCAAATTTAAAATTAATAGAAAAATCGTGTTGTCCTTAATATTTTGACAACCTACTGTAAAAGGGTATTTTTCCTTTTATTTACAAGATAACAAAGATATAAATAAAATGCTCATGTTTTACAAATTTCATGTCAACTAAAGAAAAAAGGTGATTATCGTGACTCATATTGGACAATAGACTTTTAAGTGACTTACGAAAAAAATTACAAAAAGTGACTTAAATGACTGAATGGCAGCGCTGATCTCGTGTGTAGATGAGTATATATGTGCGTAAGTGCTTGTATGAAGAAGAAATCAAAGTTACATATACTCTGTTCTTGTTTGTATTTGTTAACTGGACTGATTATATTTAATGATCAACCAGGTCCAGATAGACTACATGTATTTTACTGTACTAATATTACTCAGGATGAACAAAGATGTAACGAGGATTTTATCCTATTGGGTTGTTTGATTTACGTGAATCCCCTTGCCTTTCACATTTCAAGTACTTAATTTATTACACGCACGTATGCACTCACTTACACACGAGATTAATTCTGACTAAGTAACCTACACATAGTATACCTTTGGAAAATGAATTAATGCCGGCTGTAACTTTCAAGTATTATAACTCAAAAAGTACTTTATGAAAAAATATTTTATTAGTGTTATGGAAAACTCTCAACGTGTGCTACAAGAATATGCAATAAGAAATAAGGGCTTTCATTAAAAAAATTCAAAGTAACATTTCTCTGACCTTGGTGACGCCACTCAAGATCAAACTAATCAGGTCGCTGAATAGATCATTTAGAACCCCAATTTTTATCTGAAATGTTTTTATTCTAAAATTCTCTATTTCCGAGATAAAAATGATCTGAGACATTCTATATACAGAGTGTCACAGTAATGTCCCAGTCTGTTACAAGGCAATATCTCCGTTATTGTAAATGATATGTGAAAATGCCTAAGGAATTGTTTGGTTTGGAGGAGGATACGTTTTGATCACCTTGTTTTTTTAGATGGAGATGTCAAAAAGATATGAAGGTTACCTCCACTTTTTTAAATGGAATTGTATAATTTTTTTTCCATAATTCCTCTAATTATTCTGCACATAAAAGTATTAAAGTAGATGAATCAATTAGTGTAAAGAAAACACATTACTGCTTAAAAATATATTTAGATAAAATTGATACTTTTTAAAATAAGCAATTATGTGTTTTCCTTACACTAATTGATTCATCTCATTCTGTTCATAAAAGAATTAAGATATGATAATCAAAAAATTAATAGTCTACGAAATATTTAATGTTTTGTGTCAACATATATGCCAGAATAAAATATAAAATATCTCATAAACTTTGATCGTATATCTTTATGGCCTCCATCTAGAAAAAAAACAAGGTGACCAAAATACGTTCTCCTCTGAACCAAACAATTTCTTCCTTAGACATTTTCATGTATCGTTAATGATAACAGATATATTGCTTTGTAATAGAATTACTGATACACCCTGTATATGTTAGATCAAAACGCTCACAGAGCAAAAAAATCGATCACAACGCGTTATGGCTTTTGAGATTCTGCTGCAATACGAAATTCGTGTTGTGGCTCTTTCAAAAACGCTTACAACGCGTTCTGGCATATTAAAAGACCTCAAAGCAAAATTTGTATTGTGGTTCTTTTGGCAATCAACCAACACGTATTCTGGCTAAGTTTTCAGTCCTTGAGCTTAACATATACATATATTATATAAAAAATGTTTATATTAACAATAATGAAAAAGAATGAAAAAGAAAAAGAGCTACGAGCCAAAAATTGGTTAAAATTTTACAATTGTTTGTAAATAAAAATTGTCATTAAAATTATGTAGTTTAAGTAAAATAAATTAACAAACGTTTCGACCTCTATTAGGTCATTATTAATGTTACAAAGATCACAAGTTGTTAACAACTGTTCAAGATTATAAAATTATAATCTCGATTTAATTAAAATTAATGATTTAACAAAGATCACAAGTTGTTAACAACTGTTCGAGATTATGAAATTATATAATTACAAAAAAACATAAAAAATATAAAAAAGTCTAAAAAATATAATATATATATATATATATAAGTGAGTGTGTTTATATTAACTTTACCAAGCTTTACAAATGATTTCAGACTTGTTCCTTCTGATTATATACAGTAACTTACTTGCATCATAAGATTTGATATTATAATGGCAATCAAACGTTTATAAAAGGCTGCATCCTGAGAGTCTTGTTCATCTGGTTTTGTACAATTACATGGCTGTGATGTAGATGATTGATTATTCTTCTTTCTCTCTCTCACTGGACTATAATTTAAAGAAATCAAAATGATTTATTAACCTCAAAATTTTACATCTTATATAAAATAACATAACTTATACCTAGTTAAATGTCCTTTGGTAGACATATAGAAGAATGAATCTATAGTTTTGAGTTCAGAAGTAGGTCTAAAATAAAAAATATATTTATGTAGAAGATCTAAAATAAAAATCTTATTATATATTTACATAAAGATATGAAATATATATAACATTTTGCAGGAAAACTCTTGTAATTGTATGCAGTGAATAGATTTTGTTTAAACAAAAGACAAAAAGAATACTGTGTACATAGCATAGGAAGAAATGTTACATATATAATATCACAATAAATTTATTTTTGGTAGTAGCACTAAATGTGCACTATGTGCTAAAAATACTCACGATATGACACTACTGAATCCATTATTCTTCTCGCAATCGCAATAGACATTCGAAAAGAACATACACAGATAAACAACAACGTAAATTGACATTTGTAGAAATTGCATGTTGTTGCATCAGATGCTTCTGCCACGGTCTTCGAAAATGCCGTTCAACGCCGTTCTATTGTAACAGAAATCCAATATAAACAAAATGTTTTCGGAGACAATTATTTAAAAAAACACATGCCGTACATATCGGTCATATTATATATGAATACTCCTTAGTCTATAGTCCTGTCTGTGTTACTAAACTAGCAAAACATTACAGTGCAGACAACATCTAGATCTTAGAACATAAATACTTAGAACCTAGGGTGCGGTTGAGTTGCCACCATGAATGCTTTGAAGCGTTTGATTGACCAATCAAAAGAAAGAATTTTACAAATTGACCAATCAAGAAACCCTTCAAAGCATTCGTAGTGGCAACTCGACCGCACCCCTAGAACGCTAACGGACGCTCCGGCTGAAGCAACATGTATGCGAGAGATAAAGTATAGTGGAACTAAAATTCGTAAGTTCGACTCAAATGTTTCTTACCTTTACGAAGTATACATGGAAGTCAGTAGAAGTACGGTTAGATAACCGTATTATCGGAATGGATTGACGAACGGAACTGAACATGCGCATTACAAATTTTATAGCGTCTTGGGCAGCTTGGGATACACTGTGCAACCTTGAATTACACCAATTGTATATAAGTACTGTACCAGGGTTGCATTATAGTGTATGTACATACTACATACCCGTCAATTATTTGCAGGATCGTGCAGAAGCTCTGACTTATCGGCTTGATTTAAGCGGGAAGCACAGACTTTTGCATAACGCATAAACCATATACATAAAGAATTTGATTGGTCCATTGACTCATGCATAAGAAAATGGGCCATGAAATTCCTTATGCACATGCTTTATGCGTTATGCAAAAGTGTGTGTTGGGGCTCTTATTCGCAGAATCGATAGCGCGCGCACTTCGCAAAACGCAAAGGGACACATTAGCAGTATATATCAATATAGAATAATAAGAAAAACAATAAATAACTGATATTTTTATTATTCTATATTGATATATACTGCTAACGTGTCCCTTTCTGTACGTTTTCCGAAGTGCACGTGTTATCAACCCTGCGAGTAAAACAAGCCGATAAATCATACTGTACGATCCTGAATTCATGCTATATCGGCCCGTATTCAGAACGCAGTTTTATCGATAAAAGTGCGCTTTTATCTTCGAAATTCTATAGTGAAGTATAAGTACGTGAAGTAAACCACAGCATGTTAGCACCATCGATGTCGATGATTAGCACGCTCTGAATACGGGCACGGGCCATCGTGTTTAATCCTGCTATCGGTTGACTTCCACTTTTTGATTTTAAATGTTACACTGGCTCTATATCGTCCTTTTGAGATCGTGTAGCAAAATCTCACTTTAATGCATAAAATTTGCATTGTACTATAGCTATGGAAACACGTTACACTGAACAAGTTTGCCTACCACCAGCCAAGAAAACACATGCATTGTCCGAGTGTTGCACTGGTGACTATAATGGTGGTAGTGACCGATTATGGATGCATCGAGAATCGATTCTTTTTGCTCTTGAAGAATCTATTCTCAAGCGATTCTTTAATTTCTCGATTCTTTCGGAATCGATCTAATTTTTCACAGAATCGTACCGACTCAATTTTTCTTAAATCATTATTTCGAAAGAGAAACGCATGATTTGATACAGAGCGATTGGATGCTGCCAATCACTGCGCCATGGGCTTTAAATTTTTTAAGTTCTCTAAAGATAGACTCAAGTCGTTGTTAATATGTATGTACATAAATAATTCTTGCGCAAGAAAGTTTATATCAAAATATATACAACCAAAAAGTACGATATAAAATTAAGAATTCTTGTATATAATTTTGTTAATCATTTCATTTTAACCTCATTTACAAATTTTTTACTAAAAAACAATTATAAATTCAAATTTAAAAGATTGATTCTTTCTCCTTTTTCATCTCCTCCTTTCTTATACTCTGTCTCCTTCTTACTCTTCCTCCTCCTCCCCTCCTCTCTCTCTCTCTCTCTCTCTCTCTCTCTCTCTCTCTCTCTCTCTCTCTAAGAAATTACGTGTTGCTAAGAAAAAGAATCGAAAAAATCGATATTCTTCGGAATCGATTCTTTTTTTTTTCCAATTGATACGCGATTAAAGCGGGGAGCATAGACTTTTGCATAAGGAACAAACCATATACATAAAGAATTTGATTGGTTCATTGACTCATGCATAAGAAAATGAACCAATGAAATTCTTTATGCACATGCTTTATGCGTTATGCAAAAGTCTGTGCTCCCCGCTTAAGGCGAGAAACACACACTTTTGCATAACGCATAAACCATATACATAAAGAATTTGATTAGTTTATTGACTCATGCATAAGAAAATGGGCCAATGAAATTCCTTATGCACATGCTTTATGCGTTATGCAAAAGTGTGTGTTGGGGCTCTTAAGCCTTGTGTCCACGATGCTAGAACTCGGATTATGAAATGCATAACTGTGCATAAGCATAACATAAGGCCGTTGGACCAATGAGCATCCAGCATAAAGACGCCATATTGATTAACATAAGATGCTCATTGGGCCAGCGGCATTATGTTATGCTTATGCACAGTTATGCATTTCATGTGCGATAGGCCTTAATCCCAAAATGTGAATGGGTAATCCAATGGTATGGTCTTTCCCCAGTAGGAGTGAAACTGAAATAACTGAATAAAGAATAAGTGGCTTCAAAATAAACAATAGAAAAGGTCGGGACATGTCACAACCATAGACAATATACTATGTCTATGGTCACAACACTAGTTCTTCTTAATGAAAACTATTTATATTAATATAATTACAAGGATTACATAATATAAAGTCGAAACGTTTTGACTATGAATTTAGCCACCTTCAGTATAAAATCAATAATTTAAATTAATACAAATATGAACTTAGTATAATAAAGTTAATACGCGAAGGTAATTGTCAAGAATTTTTCGAAATTAGGATGTTAAATATTAATTAGTTTACAATTAAATTATTTTATAAGTTATATATCCATTACCATAAATTGAATATATTATAGATAAGTATCCGGCGGTTTCTCTGTACCGTTTTGTTTATTGATTTCTTTAACCTGTTTTCTAATACATACATATAAGTCATCTCGGAAACTGATGTTTTATAATAAGATAGTTCGGTATCAAGGACAATGACATTATTCCAATCCATGTTATGGTAATAAGTTGATTCTACACGACAGAATGATTACATTTTTTAATATCTGTTTTATGTTCTTTAATTCTTGTTTTAAGGCCGGTATTCATAGTCAGTTCTTATGCCTAGTTCACACTAGGCGCGATGAACGATGCGCGAGGAGCGATAACCAATAAGAACTCTTCTTTACATCGTCATGTGAGCTAAAGCAAAGCTTTTATTGGTTATCGCTCATCGTTCATCGCCCATCGCATCCAGTATGAACTAGGCATTATTTAAAGACTATCTTAAGTAATATCTTAAGGATATACTTCCGAAAAGGACGGGCCGGAAATTCTTAGCGCGCATATGTTTTCTAACGTTTTTTGATGTGCTGAATTCGAATATCATGATGAAAATTGGCGAAAATGCGATTATCATGGTGAAAACCACGAAAAACCCATAAAAATAGCTATTTTTTTTCATTTTTTTCCTCTGGGCCAATTCTTCCATTTTATTTCTTCTAGGATATGGTGTTTCCTTAAGTCCAATGTTAACTCGTTCCGCTGATCACGCGTTAATCCCCTTTTGCTGCGTGACACTGTTTTCGTCGGTTTTGTCATTTCGTTTTTGCAATAGGAGTGCTCTTATATTATAGTATATGTCACGTGCACTATAGAAAAAGAGCACTCCGACGCCTCGGATTTGCATTGCCGAACGCAGCTTAACGTATGTACATATATATATAGAGAAAAATTTAGACAATACAGTGTCGAAGTGCAATGAACAACTATTATTATGGTGTAAGTATTCTTATTTGTGTGAATATTTAATATCGGACTTAACCTAACCTAATCTAATCTTTCTACCTTTTGCATCAACTGTCATCAGCTTATTGGTCAAGAGCACTTATATTAAATTAAAATGGCGATGATTACCTAACCCAACCGAGGCAATGTCGCATCTCTGTTTTCTAGGCCTCTAGTTTTTTCTTGTTTGACATTCGATAAATAACAAGAATGAAATGATTTCATGAATGAGCCTAATTTTATCGATTTTTGAGGTAACGTGGCTGAAACAATTACCAGAAACAAATATCGCGAAACATGCGTTCGACCAAGAGCATCGTTCAAATGGTACAATCCTCCAAAATGTATCTTCTGAACTTTCTCAAAACTATGTCAAAGGTATGTATTTTTATCTACACATTTTCAAAAAATATGCATTTATTATTAGTATTATTACATTATTTATTACATCAGACAAATTAATAATGTAATAACAATGATTAGTTTGACAATTAAATAAGATGTAAGATAATGTCCAAGATTTGTAGTTTCTTGATAAAAATGGAAAAAAAGAAGATAATAAGCATAAGTAAAATGTTGATACAAATTAATGTTCAGAATTACAAAGTTTGGACAGCATTTGTGAAGGATATTGAGTGTGTCGTATTTCATAAACATGATGTCTATAATATATTATTTTATCCTTTTTTTAATATTTTGATGAACAACAAGAATAAAATGATACAATATTATATTTATCATGTATTGAATAAAACACGGTTATTGAGAGCTGAAGTATTCTATAACTGTTATTTTTATTTTAGTCTAGAGATGTAAAACCTAAATTTGTTGATATCCTTAATGACAATTCTTTTGGAAAGTACGCTATAGTCCAGCCTTGGATGGTTTCTGAAAAAGTTACTGTACCTGCATACATACCTCAGCCATCCTACAGTCAGTCTACAGTACCCAAAAATGGACCGACAACACCTGAAATCAAAGATGAATATCAAATAGAATGTATGAAGCACAGTTGTAAACTTGCCAGTTGCATTCTGCGTCAAGTTGGCCCATTAATTAAGGTGAATTATTTCCTATGTTTTATATAAAACTCCAGATTAATGTTGCTTCAATTATCTGCTTTAAATTACAAATAAATTTGTAGATGACAGGATGTGGTGAATCTGGAGTTCTATTATATGGATAATATCTGAAAGATATGCACAAGCCTTGGGTTATAAATTTCACAAACCGAATAAGAGTTAACTATATAAATGTATCGTTTATTAAGCACTTAAAATCTATGTGTGTAAGAATTTTTACATATATGTTGCAAATCATCATATAATTAAGAAATAATATTTTTAAGAATAACATTTACTTGTGTATATATATTCTTTCTTTTCGATTTTTGGTATCCTCAGGAATTATTAATAGCTTTCAGATATACATCCATGCATTAAATATAATAAATTTAAATGTAAAACAAAATTGATATATGCTAGCCAGGTGTTACAACTGATTTTCTCGATAAACAAGTACACGATATGATTGTTGGTAACGGAGCTTATCCCAGTCCACTCAATTATCGTGGTTTTCCCAAATCTATATGTACAAGTGTTAACAATATCGCTTGTCATGGTATTCCAGACAACAGGCCTTTACAAGAAGGTGATATATTAAATGTCGATATAACAGTGAGTAGCTTTATCTTTTACAAGACAAAAATTCATTTTTGTTTACTGGTTCAATAATGAATATATTACAAATTTTTTTTTAAATTAATATTTTTTGTTTAAGTAGGTATATCTTAATGGTTATCATGGTGATTGCTCAACTATGTTTCAAGTGGGTGAAGTAGACTCAGAAGGCAAACAATTAATAACAGTCACAGAATTGTGCTTAAAATCGGCTATTGAAATATGCAAACCAAACGAACATTTTTGTAATATTGGTAATAATATATATATGATTAAAATTTTAATTTATCTATGATATTAGTATATTTATATTTTAGCTATAAAATCTTTCTATTTCTCTTTCTAGGTAACATAATAGAAAAAATAGCAAATGAACACAATTTGAATGTAATACCCTCATTTTTGGGTCATGGTATTGGAACTTACTTTCATGGTGCTCCAGACATTTATCATTTTGGTACATGTGAAAATATCCCATTAACCTTAATGTATTAACGTAGAGATGATCAATAGAGATTATCTAAGTCGTTTTCATAAAATATTGTAATTTCTACATAAAATATTCCTTAATCTCAAAATAAATTGCTACTGTAGATATGTCAAATAGTTATTAACATATTTTGATGCTTTTTTTCTATTTTGTAGCAAATCATTTTCCTATGAAAATGAAAGCAGGTATGACATTTACTATCGAGCCAGCTTTGAGTCAAGGAACAACAGAGATCGAAATTCTGGAAGATGGATGGACAACTTGCACAGTCGACAATTCTAGGACAGCTCAAGTTGAACATACAATTTTAATAACAGATACTGGATGCGAAGTACTAACACTTTAGTTGTTTAGTTTATAATCAGTATCATTACTATTTATTGGTCTATTTATTGAATTATTATTATTTTTAGTGTACATTATAGAGACGTGTATAAATTAATTTGTATGTATTTTTTAGTCTTGTAAATATTATATTCGTGTTTTTACGTGTAAAAAAAAATTAAGAAAAGTATGTTTTATAATAATAAAATCAATTCAAACTCCTTATAATTTAAAAACAAATTGAAGAGAATAAAGGGCAGTAGAAGTCGAGCACAGAAGACGTGCAATTAAAAACACCACTAATAAGTGACAAAAACCATTTATTTGAATATATGTTCGAATAAATGGTTTCTGTCACTTATTAGTGGTGTTTTTAATTGCATGACGTCTTCTGCGCCCGACTTCTATTGCCCTTTATTCTCTCCAATTTGTTTTTGAAAAGTATGTTTATTACAATAAAAATTATTAATATAGTTCCTAATATTATTTT